CGAGTGGAGCCTCCTGGAGCCAAGCGGGGTCGTCGGGCGATGAACGTGAGCGCGCCGAGACGAATCTCGCGGCCCTCGACCAGAACTCCGCCAGAAACAATGATGAAGGCGATCGGAACAATTGCAACTTCTCCAATAAGTCGCTAAGACACCTGCCCCACGGTGGGCGCTAACTGTCGTGGTACTAAGACTGACAGTAGAATAGGGGGTAGGTATGGAGAGGCAAGATCCTAGCTATGGAGTAGTTGTATACGCAAGGGATTTACGAGTTCAGGCCCTTCTCGGAGGAAGTAATAGCCCTACGTCTCGGAGCCCGGAGGCGATCGACTGGATTATATGCGTATGGGTTACAGGGGTGCGAACCCTTCTGCCTGTGGAGGGGGGTGGCTTACATAGAGTGCGCCAGGACCCCAGTCAGCCCATGTAGCGGAGGGTTTAAAGTACGTTAAGGCCTGGCGTTACTGGTAACGCCTTACATAAAGTGTCATCATGACCATAAAGACTACTTAATTACAGACCGTTTGGATACAGAATGGCTCTTGAACTCCTGGTGGTCGAGTGAGTCTTCATGGTCGAGTGTCTTCGAGTCTGTCGAGTGGAATCCTTCCAGGTCGACTGGAAGGCAGTTTCTTCTAAGATGTCATTAGGGAGGGTACCTTGGACAGGTCCATGACCCTACCCTAGGTACATGACTTCATCACTCAAAACCAACGCTTTCCTTAGAAATTTGTTATGCACACATGTTCATTTCATCAGCATCTCGTGTGCATCATTTTCATTCCATTTTAATTGAAAATATGATTTATTTTGGATTTTGTATTAAACCAAAAACCTAATTTATTTTGGCCATTTTTATCATTAGGGGTTAATTAAACCAGTTTCCCTTTCGATGTTTTAAATCAATACTCACCATGATAGATTGTACATGGTATTCCAATAATTTTTTTGCAAGGGGTATTCCTATAATGTTAAGAGGCTACACAAATTATTCCATGATTTATCTCAAGTCTACCTAGCTACCACTTGAAGCTCAAACCCTCTTATTAATTTAAAGGGATTTAGTTTCTAAAGAAAATATACATGAACTCCTAAACCCCTAGATATCTGTGGGGGGCCCTCCCGCTGTTGCTCGCGGATGCTCCGGACACCGTTTCCTGGCGCCTTGCACTTTTGGGTGTTTTCTCTGTTGGCTCGGCCTACCATGTTGTGTCCTCTTTGTAGGTTCTGGAGACAGTGACCCACAACCTCTTCTCCTGCACGGCGGCAAGATTTTTGTGGAATTTTGTCCGGGAGGCACGACCTGGCGGGGTTTCTTCAAGCTAGGGCAAACAAGGATGGTAGTAGGTGACACCTCTTCTGGCTGGTGTTTGCGGCATTGTCTTGGACCCTTTGGATCGTGTGTCTTTCTTCGATGGGTCTCTGACTTTATCTTCAAATTTCTGGCTTTTTGGTAGCAATTTCACCCGTTGTCTAGGTAGCGTGACCACGAGCTGCTGGACTGATGTTGGACCCGATGCATGTTGCCGCTCACCGTCTTTCCTCACAGCAGGCGCCTTGAGGCTCTGGCCACTTGGTGGTCTTTTTTCCTTGTTTCTTTTATGCTTTTCTTGGGCATGTTTGTGCTGATGCTCCTGCAGTATGGACGTGGTTGTGGCTTTATTTACATAGCGGGGCGAAAGCCTATTTCGAGATACTTCCCTAGGGCGTGGGGTTAATCCTCAAATTTAGCGGAGGAACCAGCTGAATTCTGATCTCCTGCTGCCCGGAGCAAATCTCTGATCTGCATCAAGCCTCTGCCAGCCTCTGACTGAGAGGGCTGAATCGACTCCGCTATACGGGCTGCAGCTGCTAGATTCTGAATTGGGGTTCGATATACCTGGGTCGGCGGCGGAAAGAGTTGACGTCGACTGGAATCTGGTACTCGTTGCCGCGCGCACTCGTCGAGTGCTCACTGGAGGTTCTCCAGTCGAGTGCGCTCAGCCAAGTTTGCCAAATGCGCATCCTCCAAGGCACGAGCCTCGGGGGTTTCTCCTATGATGGGAGTATGCAGAGCATCCATATTCCGTCGGCGAAGATCTTCCCTTTGCAGAGAAGTGAGTGGCTCGGGTCGATACTCTTCGTGGACCTGAGCGGGGTCGCCTCCGCCGTCCGCTCCGTCGGTGCGAGCAAAGCTGGGAGGACTACGAGGCCCATTGACCATCAGGACCTCCGCCCCTGGATCACTGCTGTCGCACTCAGATGCAGTCTCTACGGAGCCAGTCGACAGATCAAACAGGCCGTAGAGAGATTCGTCGGGCTCGATCGCCGCGACTTGGGTGGTGGCCGATTGGCGAGCCACTGCGTGTCTCACCCACCGCTGAAGCCTCGACCGACCAGAGCGCTTGCGATGGTGGGAGACAGGGAGGGAGGACGACACAGGAGTCGACCGATACGGAGCCGACGGTTGCCGCAGCAGGACGCCGCGGACACATTTGCGAAAGTGTGTCGCCCCGCGGACGGGAAGCGCGTCGATGTCGAGTGGAGCCTCCTGGAGCCAAGCGGGGTCGTCCGGCGATGAACGCGAGCGCGCCGAGACGAATCTCGCGGCCCTCGACCAGAACTCCGCCAGAAACAATGATGAAGGCGATCGGAACAATTGCAACTTCTCCAATAAGTCGCTAAGACACCTGCCCCACGGTGGGCGCCAACTGTCGTGGTACTAAGACTGACAGTAGAATAGGGGGTAGGTATGGAGAGGCAAGATCCTAGCTATGGAGTAGTTGTATACGCAAGGGATTTACGAGTTCAGGCCCTTCTCGGAGGAAGTAATAGCCCTACGTCTCGGAGCCCGGAGGCGATCGACTGGATTATATGCGTATGGGTTACAGGGGTGCGGACCCTTCTGCCTGTGGAGGGGGGTGGCTTACATAGAGTGCGCCAGGACCCCAGTCAGCCCATGTAGCGGAGGGTTTAAAGTACGTTAAGGCCTGGCGTTACTGGTAACGCCTTACATAAAGTGTCATCATGACCATAAAGACTACTTAATTACAGACCGTTTGGATACAGAATGGCTCTTGAACTCCTGGTGGTCGAGTGAGTCTTCATGGTCGAGTGTCTTCAAGTCTGTCGAGTGGAATCCTTCCAGGTCGACTGGAAGGCAGTTTCTTCTAAGATGTCATTAGGGAGGGTACCTTGGACAGGTCCATGACCCTACCCTAGGTACACGACTTCATCACTCAAAACCAACGCTTTCCTTAGAAATTTGTTGTGCACACATGTTCATTTCATCAGCATCTCATGTGCATCATTTTCATTCCATTTTAATTGAAAATATGATTTATTTTGGATTTTGTATTAAACCAAAAACCTAATTTATTTTGGCCATTTTTATCATTAGGGGTTAATTAAACCAGTTTCCCTTTCGATGTTTTAAATCAATACTCACCATGATAGATTGTACATGGTATTCCAATAATTTTTTTGCAAGGGGTATCCCTATAATATTAAGAGGCTACACAAATTATTCCATGATTTATCTCAAGTCTACCTAGCTACCACTTGAAGCTCAAACCCTCTTATTAATTTAAAGGGATTTAGTTTCTAAAGAAAATATACATGAACTCCTAAACCCCTAGATATCTGTGGGGGGCCCTCCCGCTGTTGCTCGCGGATGCTCCGGACACCGTTTCCTGGCGCCTTGCACTTTTGGGTGTTTTCTCTGTTGGCTCGGCCTACCATGTTGTGTCCTCTTTGTAGGTTCTCGGAGACAGTGACCCACAACCTCTTCTCCTGCACGGCGGCAAGATTTTTGTGGAATTTTGTCCGGGAGGCACGACCTGGCGGGGTTTCTTCAAGCTAGGGCAAACAAGGATGGTAGTAGGTGACACCTCTTCTGGCTGGTGTTTGCGGCATTGTCTTGGACCCTTTGGATCGTGTGTCTTTCTTCGATGGGTCTCTGACTTTATCTTCAAATTTCTGGCTTTTTGGTAGCAATTTCACCCGTTGTCTAGGTAGCGTGACCACGAGCTGCTGGACTGATGTTGGACCCGATGCATGTTGCCGCTCACCGTCTTTCCTCACAGCAGGCGCCTTGAGGCTCTGGCCGCTTGGTGGTCTTTTTTCCTTGTTTCTTTTATGCTTTTCTTGGGCATGTTTGTGCTGATGCTCCGGCAGTATGGACGTGGTTGTGGCTTTATTTACATAGCGGGGCGAAAGCCTATTTCGAGATACTTCCCTAGGGCGTGGGGTTAATCCTGAAATTTAGCGGAGGAACCAGTCACCTAGGAGCTAGTAAATAAAGAAAAATGGCCTACTTGAAAACAAGATTGCTTACTGTGTGTTCTGAGTTCAGTTATCTGTTCTCACCTTTGACTTGGACAATCTGGTTCTACGGAGGCCGCATGTTTGGAAAACGTTGCAGAAAATTAATCTGTTTCTTAACTGTGTTGTAGTAGCTATTACCAATCAGGCTGTGCATATGGCACCTCATAAGAGCAAAATGCGTACGGGCGGCCGCCTGGAGTAGCCAAACAGATCCCCATCTCAAACTCTTCGTGCCCTCTCTCTCATGCCTGTGCATAACCACTCACGTTGCTGTTCCAGTGTGGGTCGAGCTCATGACTCTTTTGGCCAAGGCCGTGGAGAGGACACCACACGGCTGCATAGGCGACCATCACCATACTTTTCTGTACGTCTCCGGAGATACCCATCAGATATGGCCGTAGATAATTCCGCAGCAAGCATACCCACACACATACATGCCGGTGAAGTTTCCCCTGTCGCCCTCTAGACTCCAATCTGGATCCGTAGTGACGAATTCTCTTTGCGCGTGGAGCACATTCGTGGGAGACTTGGAGTCTTTTCTGCTCTCCTGCTGGCCAACCATGTGTGCTATGGTCTATGCCGACCTTTGATGTCTTTATCAACATCACTGGTCCCATTACTTCCAGATTTTGCCATCTTTCATCCATATATGTAACACAGTTTCGTCCTCGGCACAAGCACACGAAGGAGGCAGCCTCATGGCTCTGCACTACATCCCCATCTTCTTCCTCCTATTCGTGAGTTCGTTCTGCAAATCCGATGACCAGCTCACACAAGCAAAGCCACTCGCCCATGGCGACATGCTCATTTCCGAGAGAGGGGACTTTGCTCTTGGCTTCTTCTCCCCGACAAGCTCCAACAAGAGTTTTTACCTCGGTATATGGTATCACAGCCTCCCCGGGCCACGGACCGTCGTGTGGGTCGCCAACCGAGACAATCCAATCGCCAACCCTTCGTCGGTGATGCTCATGGTAACTAACAATTCTCGCATGGTATTATCTGACACCGAAGGCCGTAATATTTGGATGGCAGGAAGCAATATCACTTCTGGGGCGGCAGGAGCTTATGCAGTACTACTCAACTCAGGGAACTTTGTCCTCCGGTCGTCAGACGACCAGGACATATGGTTGAGCTTCGATCATCCAACCGACACCATCCTTCCAAGCATGAGATTTTTGGTGAGCTACAAGGCACAAGTCGTCATACGTATTTTTGCTTGGAAGGGCCGGGATGACCCATCTTCTGGGGACTTCTCATTCAGCAGCGACCCTAGTTCCCCAGGCCTTCTGTTGGCAACCTGGAATAAGACCAAACCATACTGCCGCATCACTGTGTGGAGTGGTGTCACAGTGTCCGGTGGCACCTACCTAACCAACACCAGCACCTTCTTATATGAAACTGCTCTCAACTCTGGAGATGAGTTCTACTTCATGTTCACAATCTCCGACAACTCACCGTTCACGCGCATGGTGCTTGAATACACTGGCAAGTGGAAGTTTTTAACATGGAACAATCACTTGTCATCATGGGAAATCATCGTTGAACACCCGGCTGCTGCATGCGAGCTCTATGCCTCGTGTGGCCCATACAGTTATTGCGACTTAACTCAAATCGTCCCAGCTTGCCGATGCCTTGATGGGTTTGAGCCCACTGATGGCATTAACTTCTCTAAAGGATGTCGGAGAAAGCAAGCATTGAAATGCGGCAAACAAAGTCATTTCATGACCTTGCCGGGGATGAAGGTTCCTGACAAATTCTTGCATATACAGAACAAAACCTTGGATGAGTGCGCGGCTGAGTGCAGCCGCAACTGCTCATGCACGGCTTACGCTTATGCTAACTTGAGCATATCTGGTGCTATGGCCGACCCATCAAGGTGCTTGGTTTGGTCAGGGGAGCTTATTGACATTGGGACGAAAACCACCGGCGAGAACCTGTACCTCAGACTTGCCGATTCTCCAGGTATTTTGTCCCTGCCCACTTTTTTCACATAAATAGCAGGTGCTTGCCAGATTAACACCAATATTTTTAGATGGGGCATGTGAACATATGATTTCTCATGCATACACAGATATTAAAAATAATTTTATTAGTTATAAGGTGGTACTGCAAGGTTATGACCATGTCCTCTACTAATATGCACGTCACCTTGACATGATCTTTTAATTTAGATGTTGACATGGAATTCAAATGTAGCTTTCACCATTGTTCCCTACAGTAATATACTCCACCAGTTCCAAAATATAAGATGTAGTTTGATCCATATTATTGTTCGACCTTACATCTCTCATACAACATTTAGTCAACGGTTACAAAATCATAATCACATGAGAATGCTTTTGAACTGTACATTGATAAAACCCAATGTAAAAATACTAGGTATTAAACCCCAGAAACAAAAATTGAAGCATGGTCTGGCAAAGCTTTTCTTTGTGAAGCTGATTATATTGGCCAGTTGGAGTATCTGGACAGGATCTGCACAATATAGAGATCCCCACCTTTAAAGATATATGAAAATTTTCAAGGATGAACTGACATGAGTGGTTCATAGAGCTACGGCAACATTTTGCTTTCTAACATAGTTTGCAGTAGGTAAAAGGACATTCCTTTTAACATCATTTTGGAAATACAAAAAAAAAGTTCTTGCATTACCAAGTTAAACCATAGAACTTCTTGTCTTCACTTTCAAATGGTTAACAATTTTTTTAAGAGTTAATGTCTTGGATTTTTCCGTAAGGGATTTCTAGTAGTTACTATTTTTTCTAGCACTGGCATAGCTAGTTAATTATTTAATTTGGATTGGTTGTTTATCTACAAGCATACTGCAAGTTAGGGTGGTTTTTTTAGATGATCAAATATCAGATTTGCCCAGGTAGTTTAGGTGCATACAATAGGGCAGTTAGGCACTTAATAAGCTGATCAAATCCGAAATGCTATCTATGCAAGTGAATTGTAGACTTCTGATTAGTTGCATTTCTGCAGTTGACAAGAAGAGAAATTTAGAAAGGATTATACTACCGATTATGACATTCCTGCTGCTCCTAGCATCCATAGCCCTCGTGTGGATGTACAAATACAGAGGTAAAGTAACAAATTTCCTCCTTATTTAACATACTATATTGGTCCAAGAGTTACGGAAAAAAAATGAATGCCCTTGTAGATAAATGGCGAAAGAAGGAAAACCAGAAGAAACTGAAGCTTGGATACTTTAGCGCATCCGACCAACTCGAAGATGAAAATACAGAAGTTCCATTTGTTAGTTTTGAAGACACCCTTTTGGCAACAAATTGTTTTGCTGATGCCAACTTGCTTGGACGCGGAGGCTTTGGCAAAGTTTACAAGGTAACAGAATGTGGTATATTGACAAGTTGATGAGATATGCACTTATTTACTACTGTCATTCCTAATTAAAGGCTTTGCTGACCCAACAATTACTAGATGTAGTAGATGCTAAATTAGTGAAACATGTACTTGTTGATGCCACATGATCTGAAATTGATGTGGTTTCAGATGAATTGGTTATTTACAGTAGTTTTGATATTCGAGTGGGTGGAAAGAAAACAATTCTGCAGTTGAGAAATATCTTGTGGGTTCCAGAGTTAAGTGTGTCACAATGGACTTATTCATATATAAAGGATAACTATAGGACCCTAAAGGTTGGTTTCCATTTCTTGATTAATTGAAAAATATGTGCCCATGTAGGGAACACTCAAAGGTGGAGACAATGTTGCTGTTAAAAGGCTAAGTAAGGGTTCTGGACAAGGAACAGTCGAGTTTAGAAGTGAGGTAGTTCTAATTGCCAAACTGCAGCACAAAAACCTAGTCCAACTTCTTGGGTGTTGCATTCATGAAGATGAGAAGTTACTAATCTACGAATACTTACCTAATAAAAGCTTGGATGCCATTCTTTTTGGTATGTGCTTTTTTTATTGCACATCGCAAAATTATTTAAATTCACCGAAAAGGCATTGATGATGACAAGCTTCGTCTCTTATGATAGATACTACACGAAAACATGTGCTTGATTGGTTGACACGGTTCAAAATAATTAAAGGAATAGCAAGAGGTCTTCTTTATCTCCATCAAGATTCAAGATTAAGAATAATTCATAGAGATCTAAAAGCAAGCAATATCTTGTTGGACACAGAAATGACTCCCAAAATTTCAGATTTTGGTATGGCAAGAATTGTTGGTGCAAACCAGCACCAAACAAGCACCAACCGGGTTGTCGGGACATAGTAAGTAACAGGTTTAGTAACATTCATGTTTTTATGGTCTGGCATAGCTCATCTTGTGCATTCCTAGCTGATTTCTTGAATGTTTAAACAGTGGTTACATGTCACCAGAATATGCAATGGGGGGTGCGTTTTCTGTGAAATCAGACACTTATAGCTTCGGTGTTCTTCTCTTGGAGATTGTTAGCGGCTTGAAGATTAGCTCGCCTCAGCTCACATCAAACTTTTCTAGCCTTATCACTTATGTAAGTATTATTGAATACATGGTACAAAACTGTTGTTTGATGAGCTTGCATAGTATAGGTAGTTGTTCCTGGTATATGTTCGATCACCCCCTCTCCCATGTTCCCCAAGTAAATAAATTAGTAACCTGATGTTCACCTCTTCTATTGCTCAGGCATGGAGACTATGGGAAGATGGAAATGCCACTGAATTTATGGACTCTTCGTTTGCTGCAAGTTGCCCACTTCATGAAGTTCTACGGTGTATTCATGTGGGATTATTGTGTGTTCAGGACCAGGCTAATGATCGACCAGTAATGTCGTCGGTTATGTTTATGTTAGAAAATGAAAGTGCATTGCTTCCGGCTCCAAAGAAACCTGTATATTTTGCTCCAAGTGATTGGGCAGCTGGAGAAGCAATGGACAACACAGAGAACTCCTTGAATGCAATGAGTATCACAACAGTCGAGGGCCGTTAAATCTTTTATAACATTTTCTGCAGGAGTGGTGTTACAAAACATAGTGTATTCGGATTTTAATAGCTAGTTGTAAAGTTTATGACTTATTCTGTGAACTGAACTTTTTGTGTACGTATTTATAATAAATGTGAGTTCATTATAAGAGGAAAGTTGTGAATAACAGAGGTGCAGCCATCGTCAACCGTACCCCTGCCCTCTTACTCAATATGTCTTACTGAATATATTTTTTAGATACAGGAGATTATCCGATTTCAATTATCAGAATACATTCATGATATTGCTGTGCCTTACTGGATAAGATTGTCACCTTTTACAGTTTGATCGCCTAGCACTTTGTTAGTTTGCAAAACATGGTAATCATCATTAATTGACTGACGTAGCTGTGGCACACGCCACTTTGATTCATCAAACAAAGTATACACTGAAACTCAAGTTCCGCTTCTGCTTTTGCACCTCAAGAAAATAACCCCTTCTGCCAAATTAGGGCATCTCCGGCCGTTCGGCCCCCCAGGGCGCCAAAATAGAGCGGCCTGGGGGCGTGCCGGCGCTAGTTCGGCCCCTGGGGGCGACCTAGCTCCGTCACGCCCCCACGCGCCGGCCCCAGGATGCGGGAAATTTAAACTTGGTCGTTCCCGCTCTTAAAAGACGCCGCAAATCCGGTGATCGGACGTAGTCTGGCGTTACAAAAAAACAGAGGAGTCGGCGTAATCCGGTGATCGTGTGCAATTCACTCGGCGGGGTCGGCTCCAGGCGTTGGCGGAGTCGGCGTGCGCGGGCTCGGCGGCGATGGAGCTGCTTCGGTGCTGGGCTGCGTCGGCGCGGCTTCGGCACTGCTGGGCGGCGATGTAGAGGCGTCGGTCGGGCTTGGCGTTCGTGTGGTCGTGGGCGTCGTCGACGTCGTCGGCGTTGCCGTCGGCAGCTCGTTTAGGATGAGGCCGCGCTGCACCAGGTACCACGCCTTGAGCTTCTCGTCATTGCTCTGGAGCATGTCCGTCCCGCCCATCAGAAAAGCCATGTCGGTGTTCCTCTTCTTCGCGCCGACGTTCGTCCGGAGCAGGTCGAGCTTGATGGCGTTGTTCTTCATTAGCGACGACCACCGCGCCTCGGTCTTCTCTTCGCGTAGGACGGCCCGGGCCTGGGCGTCGGCGAGGCAATGCTCGATGGAGTCCTGCACTCGCGCGGTTGCCGCGTCGGCATTTTTCCCCTTCTTTGCCAATTTGTGCCCGTCCGGCCGCCCCTCTGACGCGCCCGGAGTCGTCGCGTCTGGCTTGTATGTCTCCTTGGCCTTGTCGAGGGCACGCCGGACTTCCGCCCACTTCTCGCACTTGTCAATGCGCTTGTAGACGTGGAGGTGCTTGAAGTCGGCGTCTTGGTTGTCGCCCCGATACATGGCGAACATACGCAGCAGCTGCGCGGAGGGACGAACAGTTGGCGGGCGGCGGGCGTAGGGGACGAAGATATGCGGGCGAACGGCGTGCGTACCTGATCCTCAACGCTGGCGCCGCTCTCCGGGCGAGCCGCGACCTCCTCGACGATTCCATGCCATTTGTTGCACGCCAACTGGATACGCCCCCAATGGTTCGCCATCGCCTTGGAGCCGCGCTGCATGTACATGCCTTTGAAGTAGGGGTCGACGAGCTTCCGCTCGTCGAACTCGTCCTTGATGCGGTCCCAGTACGTCTCGAAGCTCTGGTTCATGCCGGTGGTCGGGTCGAGGCAGACGACTTTCCATGCTTCGGCGAGGCATTCCTCCTCCTTGGACGTCCACTTGATGCGCGGTTCGCCTGACCTAGCCGCCCGCTTCTTCTTCTTCTGGCGCCCCTTCGTCGGAACAGGAGCCGGCTCCTCCTCCTCCTCGTCCTCCTCCTCCTCCTCGGGTTCCTACGCGTCGTCGCCGTAGACGTAGCCGAGCTCGGCCTCCATGTCGCCGCTGAGATCCACTACCTCGTCCTGGGTGGCGAACCCGGGAGACGCGGCGGCCGCGGTCGATCCTGTCGCGATGATGTCGTCCATGTCGGCTCCCGTGTCGTCGGCGTCGCCGAGGTGCGAGAAGGGTAGCGGTCCACGGTAGAGATGGGGCGTCGGTGTGGACGCGTAGGCGGCGGGCGGCGAGTAGTTGTATGGAGGGTACTGCACGCCGACGAAGGCGGGCGAGGGCATGCAAGTAGCGGGGTGACCATGAGGGAAGGTCACGTTTGGGTTGAACCCACCGTGCGCGTCGCCGTCGGCGTAGCCGGGCGACGATGAACCCCATGGAGATCCGGCGCCTTGCTGTCCCCAGGGCGTGTACTGGGCGTGGCTGACGACGGGCGGATTCATCCCCGCCTGGTCGACCGATGAGGAAGACGCCGCCGCGCGCGCCGCGTTGTCGCGGGCCTTCTTGGCTATGGCCCTGTTCCGCCTGTCGGCGGTGACTGCTTCGCGCCGCTGAACTTCCACCCTCCACTCGGCGTTCGACAGGCCCGGTGGCTTCGATGGCGGCGCCCTCGGCTTCCTCTGCTTCGGCTGGGCCACGGCGCTAGTCGCGGTTGCCGCCGCGCGCGGCATGGCGTACTTCTTCGGTGGCATGGCGGCGACTGGAAGGCGAGCGGGAGGGGGTTTGGCGTGAGAAAGGGAGAGAATGGCGGGAGAAAGGCGAGCGAGCGGGAGAGATGCGAGGGAAAAGCGTCAAGAAACGGCGGGAAAGGGCCCTCGGGTCGCTTTCAGGGCGGGCCCACGCGCCTTTTTCGCTTGCGCCGGCTCTCCAAGCACCTCTCAGGGCGCCGGGTTCGTCCTGGGTCCGCCGGCACCAGTTTTGGCCCGAACCGGCGAAAAACGGGCTTCTGAAGACGCGACTGGGGCCTTTTTTCGGCGCCGGCGCGGCAAAATCGCCTGGGGAGGGCCTATTGGGGACGCGGCTGGAGATGCCCTTATGAGTTCAGAACAGAAATCTAAATCCGCATTTGTACCTTAGCTCAGGCCGGGACTACAAAGACCCCTGGAGTGTTGAATCACCTCGATTAACTTGGCTTCAATGGCCCGTCGGCGCCAGTGCACGGCCAGGCCGCCGCCTCGTCCTTCCCCGCGTTGGTTCCGTGACTGCGACTGCGCCACCACGGCCTGAGCCTGCCGCCTCCTTCGAGGCAAGTACGCCTCCGATCCGCTGGCGCGCCGCGTTGGCGGTGGCCGACGTAGCCGAGCCGCCGTCCGCTCACAGTAGGCCTTGGCTCATCCCTTCGTGTCTAACCTCTAACGTACGGGGCCGAAAGCCCGTGATAGTCGAAGCCAGAGCCGCCGCCTCCTTCGATGGCCCGCGTTGGTTCCGTGACTGCGACTGCGCCACCACGGCCTGAGCCTGCCGCCTCCTCCGAGGCAAGTACGCCTCCGATCCGCTGGCGCGCCGCGTTAGCGGTGGCCGACGCAGCCGAGCCGCCGTCCGCTCACAGTAGGCCTTGGCTCATCCCTTCGTGTCTAACGTACGGGGCCGAAAGCCCGTGATGGTCGAAGCGAGAGCGGCCCATATCTAGCGCTCGTGACGCTCCCAGCAAAGTTCTTCCTAACAGCATCTCCAACACGCCGTGCTCAAAAAATTGACATTTTTGTGCGCGCAGCCATTCCGGGCGCTTCGGCGGACGCACGAGATACGCGCGCGAGGTATAATTGGTTCAGCGCGCGGAGTGAAAAGGCATCGCGCGCCGCTTATTTCGTGCAGCCGCTCCCGCGTGCTGCACACTCGAGCGCCCGCGCCGCGACTTTCACCTACAGCCATATCCAGGCACTGGCACCGCCGCCCACACATTCTCATTTGCTCTGACGACCCGACGGCGCTTCTCCGGACTATCCCCGCGCCGCCGCTTCTTCCTCCACCAGCTCCAGTCGCCGCCGTCCCTCGAGCGCGTCATTCCTCCGACGAACAGCACCCGGCCGCCCAGTGCCACTCGACGCCCACAAGGTGCCTAGGTGCTGCCCGGTCACCATGGCCGTGTGGGCGGCGTGGTTGTCGGGGTGTGGCGTTCGGTGGCGGTGAGTGTTGGCCGAGGTGAAAAGTTGTTCTATCTTCGGACGGACCGGTGACAGCGAAGATCGTTCCCTTCTTGAAGGCGTCGTCGCGGCTCTCATTGCCCGTCATGCGGCTCCAGGGTAAACTCTGATCCTAGGATCAGGCGGTGGTGGCGCTCCAGTGTCGTACCCTTCCTGAAGGCGCCGCCTTGAAGCACATGGTTCGTCATATGTAGCTTCATCTCTTCGTGGTGGTAGTGCTAGGGGTGGTGTTGCTGCGCTCGGCGCCTATGTATCCTGCCTTGGGTGTGTGCGCGTATTTGTACTGGGTGCTTGACGATCGATGATTTACATATAAAGCGGGGCGTAAGCGTTTTTAGGTAAATATATGGTTGTAAGAATAAGTTCTCATACCCATGCCTATTTTTGTTTATAAATGTTTAAGTATGCAATTTGATTTTGAACTGGTCCGAAAACTGAAATTTAATACTCTTGCAAAGCTGGTTAAAAACTCTTGTCTTCAAGGTACACTTTGTCTAGTGGGCTCGATAACTCAAGGTCACCTGTGGGGAAAAAGGCAAGAATATTTTCTACTCCTTTACTGGATTACTAAAGGGACTTATCACCAGGCGACACGTTGCACAGAGATCATGGGGAGGCCAAGCCTCCCCACCACGAGGATGCGACGAGGCGCAGAAAGACGCCCTGCTGTCGCTGTCAGCCAGCCGGGCTTAGCCCGTCGGCGTCCTCCGGTGACGGCGCGTTAGGACGAGGCAGGGGCGGTGGCAGCGGCAGCGGCAGCGATTAGGGTTCCACCGGAGCCGCCCCCAAGAGTGACACGGCGTCTTTTGGGGGTGTTTTTGTTTCTGCTTTGACTATGTCTTATTTTTTGAGACAGTGAAAGAGGTTCAATCTTGATTCTTGATTAAAACAGCATGACTACTCGTATGCTTTTCGAATTTGTAAGCTTGTCTTTCATTCTCTATGTCTGTATAATAAGAAACAAAACAGACCTTAATTAT